TTAACCCGCCATGTCTCTGCCTCCCGTCATTGTCAGAATCAAGCGCAAGGCTACCGACGAGCCTGTTGACCTCCTGCGTATGCTTCTACGAGTCCTATAGACATACTATGCTAACAACAGTTTGCAGGTGTCCATGAGTTAGACAACCCAAAGAAACGTAGAGCGACCGAATACGTGTTTTCTCTGCAGTCTACGCCCGATGTCCCGAATCAACCTACCCCTCCAGCGGTCCGCAAGATCAAGGAGATCAATCGCTCTCATAGCCCAGGTACATCATCTGCACCGATCTCAAGGCCAGAAACTCCAGGATTTCAGAGTCTACAACAGTCCAATACACAGCAAGCTCTAAACAATCTACCCATTCAATCTGCCCCTACCACAAGCCCTGGGACACCAACTAGCTCGGCGAACTCGCCGCAACTATTCAAAGCTACACATCCACGACGCTTTCATATCTCACGAAGTTCTACTCCTTCAATTCTAGATCCTACAGGTGGTGGGATTCGGAAGCGTAAAGCAGAACCTACAGTCTTCATTGAGCGCAAACCTCGGCCCAGGAGCCAAAAGGGAGAAGGTGTTGATCACAATGGCGTGCCTGCTTTGGATTCCTCGAATGATGTGCTTCGACCACAGAAGAAACCTGGCCAAGCTGCACGAACTTCAACTCCACCTGTCAAAACTTCATTACCCAAGCTAGGGGTTGCGCCTCTACGAAATGTTCGCATGCCTTCTGGGGAGCTCATACCATGGGATGTCAGCTCCGAACGATTGGCGGCTGAGATGCAGGCGTATACCTTGCAGGAAATTGGGAAGAATCTTGCCGCATCTCAAACCCCAAAGGCAGAACCAAAGTACACATCATCCCATATTCATAAATCTACTCCGTCGAAATTCAAGCCCAAGGCACCAGCTCTGCGTTATGCACAACGACATCCAGAGGACAAGTCTCGGGCAGATCATGACGCGATGATGGATTTAGATGGACCATACGTTGAGGATGAGGTGGATGATGATTCAGAATACATTATCGACACATACATTCGTATGCCAGCAGACGTTCTTGAGACTGAGGACGTGCCGAAGAATATTGGATTCCTGATACTCGACTCGCAGCCCGACATTGACGAATTCTATCGGGAGGAGGAAGACAGTGACGAGGAAGAGGACGATTTGGACGAAGACGAGAACGGTAGGCATTCAAGCCTGGATCAGTATCTATATTTAACTAATCATAATGCAGCTGAAAATCACTATACAGCGGACTATCCAGACGAAGAAGTTGATTCCGATGACGAGTTCGACCGCAACGCATATCATTATCGCACACATAATGCTTCAGACTTAGAGGAATTCGATGGCGCCGATGATGAAGATATGACCTTCAGCGACGATGAAAACGAGAGTACAAAATATCCATGGATGGAGAAAAAGCCGTGGCTGGTGCGTCCAAAGGCAGGGATCGCTGGGCAGGAGGAAGAAGATAAATGATGTTGTGTATGGAGGAGCATTTTGTGTAAAAGTCCGTAGCCAGCAAGCGCAGGATTTTCTCTTCTTTTTTGTTGGTATAATTAAGTGGGCTTGGCCCCTTACTTTGCATACATTGACACTTAAGGATAGTCGCAGCTTCTCTAAACTATATGGCATCTTCCTCATTCCTATGTATTCTTTGGCAGTTGCGGTACAAGTGACAGTGATACCAGCAACGATACTTCGGGGACTGCAATGCTAGTGTAAGATCAAGAACTTATGATTCCTTACATCTTCCCCTGCAGCTGCTTCGCCGTCCATAATTCCATGACCATAGCAGTCTCCACCCAGATTGACCAAGAATATTCTCAAGCTTTTGTTATCAACCATTAGGTCCTCCATGATATATGTCTCATATAGTGTAAATCGAAAAGAACATTAGATCCATCAATTACATAAACCTCACCACCAACTTATATATAACTCTGAAGCCTGGTCCAAGACTCAACTAACCTCGTCGAGTGACGAAGAACTTTCGAGTCTGAATCGTGATGTTGAATGTGAAAAGGTTTTCGGGTGCAAATTTCCTTGAACATATAGTAAAAGTCGTTCTTCCGAGTCAGTAGATATTATCATACGTTAGCACGTCATGTGCGGTTTTCTCCTCCTCTTTAGCTCTTCCGAATTCAAGCGGTATGTCTTTCCTTATGCTCGAGATACTAGCCACAAATGTCTGTTGATTATCTCCTTCTATACTTGACAGTAGCAGAATTTCCTCGTAATTCGTAAGAGATGAGAATCTGTTGCTGTCTACTCAATGAGATCAATTTCCCCTACGAGAATACTATTGAATTTCACCCTTCAAGTTTTGACATCTGATTCTACACCAGCTTTGCAGTCCACGTTTCGCCTTTACACGAATCGTACCAATCACACTTGCCGAGATGTGAAGACTCCCACCCAGTATCTGTCGATGGCGAGAAGAAGGTCCAATACACCATGATACGGGAATGGATTTATTCCGGTACGCTCTTGTCAAACGTTCCAGAATACCCATAGATTCGATCAGCTGCATGGTTACGTCTCAGAAGACTCCATATCCGGGCGCAGAATAATCCGAAATATTCACCCGCTAGTCCTCTACTCAAGACTTTTCCGGACGGATCCTTGAAAGCTCATCTCTCAATCAGGTCCACCATTCTCGAGGATTTCCTGATAGTCTCGCCGAAAGCTCCCTCAAATTCCGAACCGTCGCCGCGTCCAGCTTCTGAGGAAGGAAGACATGGTCGCGGTCTTCCGAATAATATATACCTATATGCTGCAATGCTGCTCGGCTTACGATGGTTTTCCTGAGCGTCTGACCTTGTTGATCCCCGTCGTTCTGCCGATTACTTGGAGGTACCACGCTGCTCAATGATACGACTTGCGGAATGGGTATTTTTTGGTCTCTGCTCACGACGGCAGGCCTGCTGGGCGGATCGGTCCACCATAAGTTACTATTCTTGCAAAGCTCCAGAGATTTGTTGCGAAGAATTTGCAGCGTTCTGGCGTCAATCCGCTCTGGGAGACGAACATAGTTACCCTCTTCGGAGAATCTCATCCGCATCGATTCTAAAGCCGCGCGGCTGACTTTTGTTTTCCGTATCAACTGTCCGTCTTCAAAATTTGTCGGCCGGGCTGGTGGCGGCGGCGGAACCGGTGGCCGTGTTTGTGCTGGCTTCCATTGAAATATTTTGCTTGCAGGCCCGGCCTTTTCTTGCATGACTGGAGGCTGAGTCGGTGTGGTATTGAACCATTTTGCCCATCCTGAGCTCCTTTCAGATCTTTCTCTGGAAGTTTCGATCGTGTTCAACACCGGGAAACTGCTTTTAATTGGTGCCTCTCTGTCCAATGCATCAAAATAGCCATCGTCCTCATGAGAAGTCTCGTGGTATTCCTCTTCTTGGACCTCCACAGTTGTCTCTTCGTTAATAGTGTCAGTTTGCATGATCCATTGGCTGGTCATGATATTCCGTCTGTAAGCAGTGTCTACTGAGCCGGCGTAATCAGAATCCACCACGGAAACGTTATCGATACCTAAGTTCATCTGGATCTGCTTCACTCCGCGCTCGATCTTTATGACACGGCGACTTGATTGAGAACTCACAGCCCTGGTTCTAGTTAGTGATCTATGAAATTTAGAGTACTCTGAGCATTGACATACAAATCAGCAAAGCTGATAGCCATGTTCAGCGTTTGCTTGCACGTGGCCATGTCTTTCTCCAGGCCCGTGGTCTTCTGCTCTTTGAAAGTCCACGCGATTCTCCTCCACGTGCTTCGTTTTGGGTCCCTGGTGGATTTCACATATGGCCTCAGCAAGGTCTCAACTTCTGAAGCGACATTGCTACAGTTCGCCAGTGCCGTTTGAAGATGGGGAATAAAGGAGTCTTGTGCTGATGAGTCGGCAGCGTGGATTTGGTGGACGAAAGAATAGACCTGACGCAAGAGCTGGCTGATGGCTTTCAGTTCATTATCCAGCTTTGCGATGGCTTGTGGTGCTCCACTGATGGCTTCTGTGAATTTTCTAGCCCGTTCAATCCCATCCATAGCAACAGCTAACACTCCAATGATCGAAAGCGGGTCTGGCATGATGAACGCAGTCAAGGAATGGCGAGCGCTTAGCTGATGGCTCCCCCGAGAGGTAATATCTAAAAGAGCCTAACAAGAATGAAGACCCGAAATCAGAGCTCTGTGCCGTGCGATACAATACTTTTTAAGTACTGGAAAGCCTTTAGGAGCTATAAAGAATCTTAGTTATAAGACGTGCGGCAGGGTTGCGAGAAGAGTTGCGCAGCATTCAGCAGCTGAGGCTGAGGCTGAGCTTAGCGCTAGGGGCTGGGTTACCCCCCGCGGAAGCCCGAAACAGATGCAAAGCCACAATTTCAAGACTCTTGCTTGAGATAAGGCTGCAAATCTTTGATTCGTATTTTTGCGAGGGAGGGGATAGAAGCCGCCAAAATCTTGTCTGAAATGCTGTGATCATGGCTGAACTTTTGGAGGCGTATTTGATTAGAACTAGCCTCATCCAGTCAATTTGAAATGCATGATGGCGATGAGTTCGAAGGATCGAGTAGCGAGGGGAAAGTGTTATCCTTTTTTGATCAACACAGCGAATCCAAAGAGCAATACTGGCAGCTACCCCGACACCTACCTCGACAACTAACGACTAGACAACGCTCCTGATAATATTTATATTCAAGGATCCGTCCTGCTTCGTGATACCGCATACATCTTTGATATAGGCGTGATTTTCTGTTACAGAGAAGAAAGCGAGGAATCTTAGAAAGCTTGCAGCATCAGTGCACGAGGTGATTCAAAGGGGGATGTTGCAGCCTGAGGCATAAACATTAGACTCCGTCGCTTAACTTACCACTTCAGGGCTAACCGCCAAGCCTATTTGGGTGATCTCCACTCTCAAAGCTGTGCGTCGCACAAAATGTCGTATAAGTTAAAATAAGCAAAAGTTGGACAAATGATCCGTTTGGAACACCCTAGCCCGGCTGGCACAATTGGTTAGCGCGTGGGCCTTTTACGAAAGAGCAGCCCAAGGTTGAGAGTTCGAGCCTCTCGTCGGGCGCGACATTGAAGATTACCTTTTTGCCATTTTGGGATTGTTTTTGGAGTATATGCAGGTTGGTTTGGGAGCATTGTTGGCTCGGGACTATCTCGGCTAATCGCTAAATGAACCCACTAGTCGCAAGACAATTGATGCCCGATTTGAGGTGCTGCAATCCGAAGATTCTCTCCTCTCTCCAGTCACTTATCACCGGGAGAACAAGAGGCAGCACGCCCCGGGAACTCCGCGGCCATTGTCCCGATTCTCGCTATTTTCAGATTCCTCTTTACTCCCATGTTCTTTTCACTTTCCCTTCCTCGCCTCAGTATTCCTTTCCTTCGCAACTTCCGTATCTCTAACCAAATCTTTCCTCCCTAGTTATATCCTGTGAAATAAATCCTTCTCACAATCTTTCTAACTGAGCATTGCGGATCCTCTTCTTCCACGTTTCACCGTCCTCCCCTTTTTCCCAGGTTTTGTTTTCGGGATGAGTTTTCTTAGTAGATCTCTGACATTTGGTCGACCTTCTCGTCGAAGTCCTCCCTCTTACAGGGTGGTACCAAAGGAAGGATGGGGTTTGAAACGAATGTGCCAGAGCTTGATGCGTCATGTTTGGGTGGTCTTGATGCTGTGTTGCTACATCATTTGTGGTGGTGGGTGGGCAGACCACGGCCGGTGAAGCTGCGCAATGCCTTGACTGAACACGCTGTGCGTGGAGCACGGTGTGACATCTAAGATCGCTGTTGGCTCATATATCCCTCCTCCAAGTCGTGATATATGATCCGCAGATATGCTGGATTGACTTGCTGTAGTTTTCGTATGCAGAGTTAGGGTTTGATACAGAGAAAACTGGAAAGCTGATGATGAAAACCACGTGCGTGCAAAAAAAGTTATAGACACGCTGTATCAACTTGACTATGAAGAGGTGAAGTATAGCTTTGAAGCGTATCGGGAGATTGGTATATGCATTGCATTCTCAGCCAGTATGGAGATTGAAGCAAAGTGCTACGTCAAACCATTAATAGCGGAGAACTCAAATGAGATATCCCAGGGCTTCTTTCTCGCGGAACATCATGTGCTTGATATGGCGGAGACTGAGTTGGTAGTTCTGCCAGCAATTTTATGTCAGAACCTCAAAGGACCGACGATGTGGCACTAGAGAGGTTGTTTGAGAGTGGGAATTAGTAGAGTGGAGGTTAGGGATGTGCAGAAGTTCTCAGATGTGATTGCTTCTTTTGGAGGTACGGTGTTGCCTTAGAGATTGAGGTCTTGACAGTGTGTGCCTCAACATCAACGACTCCATCTCCGAGTCTTCAAACCCTCAATCTTTCTTCTACCCATCACCCCTTCCCCCTCTTCCCCTTACCGCTCTCCCTCCCCTCAAGCACACCAACCAACTTCCCCACCCCCACCACACACCTATTCCACCCCCTCCCCTCAAACTTCTCCACCTGCTGCCCACCCAACCACGCATTCGGACCCCCCTTCACCCAGTCCTCCCAATAATCCTCAAAAATCTGAAACTCCGGGAATCCATATCCCATCTTCATCCTTGCCTCTTGTCCCTCCTCATCAGCGACCCATTCCGGAACCTCGACATCAATGACCTTCATCCCTCTTTGTTCGCAAAATTCTTTCATCATAGGGAAGGATTTCCTCTTCCATGTTCGGTTGTAATCTGTTGCGCAGAAAGGCTCCTGCTTTCCGAAGCCGAGGAGGAGGATGGGTTTTCGTGATAGGGAGTTTGTGGAGAGGAAGGGAGGTGAGAGAGTGGTTTTGAAGGAGCTGCAGTGGGACCAGGTGTGGTATGGAAATAAGACAATTAAGCCATCATGTTGAGATATCTCTTCTTCCGATTCAGCTTGCGATTTGAGGTTGGGTTGTGGTATCGGTGTGGAACAGGATGAGTCATCACGTGATGTAGCTGGAGAGGATGGGGATGGGAAGACGTAGTGGGCGAGATCAAGAACGGTGATGTTGTAGTTGAATGGAATGTGAGGTCGTATGCAGGTGCCTTCGATGAAGGAGGCGATGGCGGTGCTGAGGACACCGAGGGGATGGGGAAGACAGGTGTTGTGAATGAAGGCGAGGGATTTTGGGGAGCTTTCAGGTGATGCCATTTTTGTTCCGAGGACAGAAAAGAATTCTAGGATTGAATAGATACATGATAGAAGAGAACACTTGATCGTAAAAGCTGATAAGATATACACCCAGGAAGAAGCTTCGAGGTGTCGTGGCGTAGCGCGAAGAAAGCGTGAGTCAATCGCGGCCTCGTATTCAAAATTTCGAGATCGCGATTTCTTGGCACTCGCGCGACGACCACGAAAGCTCCATCCCCAATGGGCACAGATGGCCCATGTCAATTGATTTGGGAACGGGCAATAGAATACAGTTATTTGGTCACAGCGCACTTACAACTCAGTGGACCGCTGCGACTGCACTGCGCAGGCCTGTATCCAGTCGCGTTCTCATCTTCGAGGCCCAGCACGAAGCCAAGCAGTCAATGAAAAGAAGTGTGTTTTTCCCTGAAGGGATGGCAATCAAAAATTCCCCCGATGACGTCCCCGAAGGAAAGTCAACGCGTCTTGACGCCCCGATGTGCAATGGAGGTCTCGTCGCGCAAACAACCGAATTCTTGAGCGCGGTGTTTTCGAGAAGGTAAGTATGAAGAAGAAAAGAAGAAGTTGGGCGACGAGCGAAGAATATATAGGGTCTGGGGGACGCTAGCGGCGCGAGAGTTTGCACGATGTGCAAACTCACGTGACTCAGGAACAAGGCTGTTTGTGGTGGCGAGTTCTATTCCACCTGCAGTCGGGCAACTCAAAGCCAGCCTTTCCACCGAGGTTGTGATTAGAGGCAAAAAGATCAAGGTTGATACTGCCCAAGGCTATCCTTGAGCGAGTGTAAGATATTTTTCCGTTACAGAAAGGCTGATCTAGCACAAATACAGCAGAACTTTAAATGAACACCAAGCATGGCTAAAATCACCTTGAGCACTGCTGATCGCGAACCCGACGACGACAACGACAACGACGACCTCTACATAGCTCGTAGCCACAGGTCAAAGGCATCGAGCACTCATCCGCCACAGACAAAGGGTGTGTACGGCATGATATTTACGAAGTTGACGACAGAACCCGAGCCCGAGTATTGACGATCAGTCGGCAATGTTCTCCGAGCGCTCGAGTACCCGAGCCCGTCTGTTGTCAGCACCCACTCAAACGAGTCAAAGTTCTGCATATCAAAGGATTGCCGATGCAGGACACTCACGAATATCTGCCGATGGCACAATACCTCCTCAAATAAATTCTTGACTTTGACGACACATATTCTCAGGTTTCACGTCTCCACAACAGCGCCTAAGAGACCCCGCGATCGTGCTGATTCACACGAGGGACATATGACTTGTCTTGAAGCTCTCTTTGCCCCACGATGACTGCCAGTTGCCCGAGAGTTTAATTTAATCCTTGTGCGTTGGACATTGCGAGCGTCTATCTTGTGGGTCAGGTTCGGCCGCCATTTACAGCGGCAAATCGTTTGCTCTCTCTTGTTACGATTTTTTCTATCTACGCTCAACTCAGTTCCCGAATAGAACCTTACATCCAAAGAGTGCGTTTCGACACGAGGAAAGAACAGATCAAGGCATGCAGCAAAATCAGATGGCAGTTGACCTCTGCCCAGTCTCATCGAGTCATTGCAGACCATTGAGCAAGCATCCATGAATCCTACTATCAATTTTAGGAATATGGGCACTAAGTCGAGTGCTGGAGCAAACTATGCGCACCGGGCATTGGCGATATTCGCGATTTTCAGAAGTCTGCACTGTGAATCAGGCACGATGTCGACTTTCCGATTTAAGCCAGCTTCGAAGCTCAAGAGACGTCTGGAAATTGATTTCAACGTTTTCCGAATCCAGACCGTGGTCATATTCCCTTACCTTCTCCACCGTCCAGATTTTTGAAAGTCCCGAGTAGGAGTGCAGTCACATTTGTCTGGGACGGTCTGACATCAGACGGTACACACGGCAATCTTGCCAAGATCATACCGATATGAGAGAGTAAGAAAGTATACACGGAATTATTCAGCCTTGGCCATGTTCTGGTCTCGTGGTATAACTCCATAGTCTTTACTGATCCGAGCTCAAGGAGGTCTATCTCGACGATGCTCGAACTCCAACGCCTCGTTTTCAAGAATGATCCGTTATCTGTGGAAGTTCCACTGACCTCGTGACAGTAGCAGTACAAATACCGGTAGATCTCGTTTCCATGCTACCGGATATCAAGCAATGACCAAAATATCTCGCATCACACAAGCGACACCATACGCGGTCCTGTCCCTATTGGATACCAGCTAGTCTTATGCTGGATGAACCCTGTCACTAGTCAGCATATAAGACACCGAGCGGTGACTACAGCTCACCTATCATCGTCCTTCAAAGGTCTAAAGTGTCTGAATCAGTATGAAGCTAGCCCCGGCCGACGTTCTTGTCAGATGTGGGCTTGTAGCAGTGTCCCCTCGCACTTCTCGCACTCCTCGCACTCCTCACGTGATATCAGCATTGTCGCTTTTCACAACTTGCCCGCTGATTAGATTTCGTGCTAATCCTCTCTTGATACATTTCGATACTAATTCTTTAAAGTCTCACTCAGCAACGTAAATGATCAACAGAAGGCCGAACTACACTCAAGACATATACCCCGCGATGTCCCTCATTCTAATACACACTTTCCTCTTTCCCTTCTCATTCATCTCGACTATTTCGAGGAGGAACTTTCAAACCCGGCAAAATGGGTAGCTCGAAATTACTTTCAGAGGCCTTTGGCGAGCCTTTAAATCGACCAGTTCCCACTATGCACGACTTCTACCAGGAAGTCACTCAAAAACATGGCGATCGAATAGCTTTGGTATGCATGCACCAACCAGCATCCTTCCTCGCCTCAATAACTCGCGGCGATCCACCTACGCCTCCTTCATCCCCACCAGAGAAATACCTCAGATGGACATTTAACCAGACTGGACAT